GGGATGCTATGTCAACAGCTGCCCAACTTTGCTCCAGAAGGTGCAGGTAATGGAGGGAATTTCGAGCAGCTCCAGGACCAGAATATTCCAAGAGCAGCCTAGAGTAGTCTGGCCAGTGTTGACCCATGTCATGTAGGGAACATACGTCTTATTTTAAAAGAAGCCTCCAGGAAGCTTCCAGGAGCATTATTTTCCTTTAAGATGGTGCTCATGTTTCCCATGCACCTCGTTGGGAAATCAGGAGCCATTCTTTGATAATACCAAATTTTGATGTTTCACTTGCAAGGCAATGTGGAGCTTCTAGAAGCTTCCATAGGCCATAAAAACAAGCATATGGCTGCATCCAGCCCACATATGTGCTCCAACCACACAATTTATAGATTTCAAAGAAGGAAGAGAAAAACTGAACCCTGTTGGGCTGCTCATGAATAAATCACAGGTGTCCAAAAGATAAATTCAGAGTTATGTGTAAAATTCAGTAATGATATGTAGAAGTGTCTAAGAGAGTCTTTAAAAATCAAACAAAATTCAATTAATTGTTTTATAGCACATTTTGGGATTACAGCTGAAGAAATTCATGGCAAAACTAGCTTTCATAATAGAAAATTATCAGTTTAGCATACATGGAATCATAATTCTATATCAACCTGTGAAGTTAGCAGCATATTGGCAATTATAATCAGGACAGAGAAATGTAAGAGCATATTGGTGGGATGTCATTTTTGTAAATCACCATATTTACTGCTTGGCAAATTGCAATCATCATCAAATCAATTAATGCTTGTTTGTTATTACAAGAAGGAAAAAAATATGCAAACAAATAGTGGTGTGCCTCCCTCCCCCACCAACACCCAATTGTATATGCTTGAATCAGTTTCACCCACGCTCCTATATAATGGAACATTCTAGAACTTTACATGATGGCTCCGTGAATGTATTTCTATGACTCCCTGAACAGACTTCCCAGTTTGTACATCACCAAAATGATTTCACTTCAATTGGCATTGAACATTGGTTAGCAGTGGTTTGAACAGAGACAATGGTTTCCTGGCATACTACGCATATTAAAACACTATCTGACATCAAGGTTACTAAGTAGGACTGTTGTGCCTACTTTATTGCAACACTCCATTAGTCTTGTAGAATGTCACCCACTATTCATATGTTAGTTTACTCATCTTGGCTTGTATGTAAAACCTGTCTCCTATTTTTGTGCCTTTAACTACTTTTGACAGCCATTGTTGAAACTGAATGTTGCATCCCACCAACAGGTCCAGTTATTTTGCATTTCTATTACAATTCACACTCCCCCAATACACCATCTCTGGTATATATTTCTGTCCACTGAAACTTCAGTCCATACAGCTGATGGGCTGGAATTCATAAAAACCTAACCTAGAAATTTCTTCTTCTTAGGTACTACAGGATTTCCATATATCTTTTTATGCTGAAGCATAAAAATATTAAGATAGCTATGTCTTTTTATACATGAATTAGGTAAGTACATGTTATATGGTTTTAGTTGTGTGTGTGTTGTGTGCCTTCAAGTCATTTCCAATTTATGGCAATCCCAAGGGGAATGCATCATGTGTTTTTTCTTGACATGATTTGTTCTGAGGAAGTTTGCCTTTGCCTTCCTCTGAGGCTGGGACCATGAGACTTCCCAAGGTCATCCAGTGGATTTCGTCACCAAGTAAGAATTGAACCCTGGTCATCAGAATTGTAGTTCAACACTCAAACCATTATACCATGCTAGCTCAGTTTCAGTTATACATGACAGAAAATAAGCTCTCTCTAGACATTTTCTGGTCCTCCAGCATGATTCTATGATATACTTCCATCAGAGGTTGATCATAGAGTCACACTGGAGGATTTAGCAAAGCCTATAGAAGTGTTGTCTCTAGGAATCTCTCGGTCTTCCAATCTGACTCTATGATCAACTTCTAACAGAAGCATACTATAGGTCTTCCAATGTGACTCTGGTCCTAAATGTCCGTATAACATTTTAAAGTTTGAGTCAATGCCATGGACAAGTGGTGGCAATGCCTATTTCAGCCAGCCCAATTCAAACTATAGGTATTAAGATTTAAGCATTCAAAGGCATAGTACTGGCTGCATGATTCTGTCACCTTTTGTTTTATCCATTGTTAATTCTCTTCAACCCAAATACTTTCTGTTCCAACTAAGAAGAGGTTTATAAACTAGGGAGCGATCACCAGTTGCTTACATGTTAGTAAGGAAGTGAACCCTTGCTGTGTCTAATGGTCAGGGGATCTGTCCAAGGTACTGAATCTGTTTTGAGAGTAGGGTTGAACAACTTGGATAGCTTTATTAAATTTTGGATTAAAGCCCAAAATGAAATCACTACCCTCTGATATGGACACCAACAACTGCCACTCAACTGGAGTAATTTATTTAAAATCAAAACAAACTAAAACAAAATGCTTGACTTCCTTCTTTTTCTGTCCATCTGTCTAGAAAATAATCCCACAAAAACTGTGGGATTATTTGAATGGAATACTATTAAAATACTTGGATTCTTTTTTCTTTGCTTTTTTTTGCATATTTCACAGTTTGAGGTTATTCTGGCTCTGATACTATAGGTATTACTCCTTGGTAATCTTAGTTCAGGTATTGATATACCTATACTCTACTAGGGATCAGATTCTCTCATTAATGGTACTAGGTTCTGGATAAATAAGGTAGAGCACTGTTAATTCTAGCTAAATGGAATGGTGCAAAAGA